ATGAGAAGAGGTGCTTCTCAATTCTCACCCATCAATTAAATTGCAACTTGCAAAGAGGAAGAGAACGAGAAAGCACTCTCCAAAAAAGTCTCAGTCATTTGGAATTTGTGAGTGGTTGGATGTGATTTTCATCTTTTGTTTTTTTAACCCTCTCCTTTGCTTCTGCTTTTAATATACTTTGCTTAACAATCTCCTTTTCATGTGAGCACATCCAACAAGTTATTTTAATTTAATATTACATCTTTTTTATTTCACTCGTATTTACACCGACTCCACTTAAAGAATAAAATGTTGAATTTTTTTTAATGTCAAAAATTGTTTCTAAATATTAATAGGACTGCACATAGGTAAGTTAGACTAAGCATCATCTTTGCCCGATGCTTGACCCGATGTGCATTTTAGGTTGAGTTTGACTTGATTGTCTCAAAAAAATTTATAAATATTCTTTTTTGAAGAATGGAAACATTTTCCTTGAAAAAAAATTATTATTATTATTTAAAATATATTATTTATAAAACTAATATTAGAATGAAAAGTAAATTTTTAAGATCATATATGATCAACAACCATCAATTATTTTCACATAATATTATGTTTAAAATAAATTTTAAAATTTTAAATATATTAAAAAATTGTAATGATGAGAAATGTTCAAAAAGATTATAAAAATAATGTAATTCATAATAATTCTTAACAAAACATAATACCATAACATTAATATTATTCACAAAGCAGTTTTAAAAACAAAAAACAAAAATGACATATGTCGAGTCAGGCCAGGTTTAACCCTACTTGAGCTTGGCTTAAAGGTCAAAGCTTAATCTAATGTGCTCGAATGACTCAAGCAAGTCAGGCTAGTTAGGATTTTGGTCAATATGGACAGCCCTGATCAATTTTAATCAACGGTTCCAAAATTGTTGTTGTTGTTGTCACACCAATAACAAATCAAAAAATGAGTTGCTTCGGGTAAGAGAGAGGTAAGTTATATATTTTAATATTGAATACATGAAAAGACATCAGATGCTCCCAAATTAACATTGTAGAGATAAGTTTGCAAATTAGAATATTTATGGTGTAAATAGAAAATTCTCTAACCTAGTTGATTTCATTAGCAACGCGGCTTTTCATTGTCATGTGATCGCATGGCCACAAAAATGATGTGAAAATAAAATACAATATCATCAACAGAATGAGTGAAAAATATAGAGTTAAAGTAATCATCAATCAACTTATCTTAATTAATACTGTCAAACACCAACTTAACATGTAAGTTTTGTTGGGTTGTAAGAAATTGCTCCTTTTCATCGTTCTTCTTATATTATATCCTATTTACTTGTAATGATTGTACGAGTAATAAATGCATTTTAAGCATTTAAAATAAAAGAACTTTAGTTTGGCACGTAGGTGGATTTGCACTGTGTCATACAATTAATAGAGGTCACTTCGCCAAATTAAAAAGAAAGGGTATTAGGTTTGGGTGAAGCTAGGAACTGTGATATATATCCAATAAGGTAAAGCCATTTTGATTTGTGAAAACAATATCTTCTAATTGCAAAGGACAAAAGGAAGTGCAACCACTCCTTTTAACTCCATGGCACTTTGATTTGGTCACAAATGGAAATGGCTTTTCCTACCCAAAATTATGCCTCAAGAGCGTCTTTTTTTGGTGCTTTGATTACTTGATTTAAAAATAATATTAATATTGATATTGATTAGGAATAATTTTCATTTGAGTGTGTAAAGATAATAAAAAATATTTTTTAAAAAATAATTTGATATCTCATTTTATAATTATTACCTTTTATGTGGGTTATCAAATATTATACAAGTTTGTGGGGATTATGGAATCATATAAAGATGTAGCTGGGGATCTAAATTTGCAAGTGATGAAAAACACGTCCCTTAAAAATGGAGCCGTGAGAATATATGTTAGGACCAATATGATTTAACTTCCTATTTTCAAGATAATGGAATATTCCAATTATGTCCTTTTTGCATTGCTTTGGGGCAAAACATAGATAAATAAAAAATCACCGAAAGTTATATTATCAGAAAATGAGAGCCTATTTATTTTCTGCTTTTAATTTTACTTTTAAAAATAGAAAAATTTAAAAACTTGTTTGGATAAGTATTTTTCATTTAATTTCTATCAAAAAATTTTTATTTTTAAAAACTAAAAAATAGAAACAACTGCAAATTGTTTTTTTTTATTTTCTTATTTTTAAAATATATTACATTTTATTATTGAAAATTACAGTTTAATTCTAATTTTTTTAATTGATATAATCAAATGAATTTTTATTTTATTTTATTTTATTTTGAAAAAAATTTCAAAAACTGTATTACAAAACAATTTAAAAAAATAAAAAATGATGACAAAAATCAAACATGCTCTTAATATTGTGAATTGTTTTTTTTTTTAAATACCATCACCCCAACTACAAACTACACCTTCCTCTTTTAGTTGTCCATTTTACCTTGTTAGTTTTCTCTACCATAATTATTACCGTACAACATTCTTTACTTTTTTTTTTTTTGAGAAAAAACTTTGTTTACTAATTTCGCCAATTTTCAAGGCAATGTTTAGTTACTCTTCTAGAAACAATTATGGAGTTCAAAAATCATGATTTTGGAAAAAGTCATCCAAATACTCTCAATTTTCTTAAACTCTATTTGATCCCTGAAACTTCATTTTGCAAAAGTTAATTTTTCTTTCAAATCATTTTTTAAAAAAATATTATCTAAACATCATCACATTTTGTTAATCAATATTTTTATAATTAATTTTTTTTAATTGAAATTCAAATGTGCCCTTAAGCTTAGGGCTTTATTACACTTACTATCATGACCGTAATAGAAAATGTATAATCTACATTGACGGTACAAAAAAACTGAAACTTTCTTTTAATAAAATACTTACTTGTTGGCAATTTGACCACGATGCTAAGAAAAAAATTTATTTACTAATATATTACACTTTTAAAAATATTTTTTTAAATATTATAAATTTAAAACTCAGTTTGGATCAAACCATGTTTTAAATTTTTTAAACATAAAAGTACAGAATTCAGTCTTAATCCAATTGAGTTTAATATTTATCCTTTTTAAAAAACAAAAACTTGATGTGACAAGCATGACAAGCTATGCCCATTTCTACCACTGGCTCACCCTAATAGATGATTGCATTCTATAATCTTTAAAGTTGAAAAATGAGTGAGTCTAGCTTATATGACTCGACCTTAAAAGACTTAAACTCATAAGTTCAATTATCTTAAAATCTATCATTTTTTGAAATCTAACTATTAATCAAAGGGCTTATAGTTGGGGCCCTGTAAGTCACGTTTTTAATTTTTTAATTTTTAAAATTAAAATTTTTTATTTTAATATTTCATATTTTTTTAAATATAAGTTGTAATGTTTATCAAAATAAAATGGGCTTAAAAAAGTTGTCCTAATCCTATTGCATTTTTTAGGGCTTATAAGGCCTAGATTTCAAAACTTAGTTTTCCTAAAAAAATACAATTTTTCAAGTCTAAACCTTTATAAAAATGGATTTAAATGGTGGGTTACCAAACTCGACTTTTATTCTAGACTATAATAGCTTTCTTTCCCTTCATTTTGAAGGGTACTCATTCAGCGCAAGAAGAGGGGGAGGACCAACTCACAGTGAAGAAAAGGAAAACTATTAGAGTCAGGAATAAGGGTTTAGTTTGAACGGGCCGCTATTTAAATCAATTTTTATAAGGATTTAAACTTGAAAAATTACATTTAAAGCAACTGGGTTTTGAAGCCTAGGCCTGAAAAGTTCTAAAAAAGAGCTAGGGCTAGGGTGGCCTTTTTAGGCCTCATTTTATTTTGGTGAATATTATAACTTGTATTTTTAAAAACTATGAAATATTATAATTAAAAATCTTAATTTTTAAAAATTAAAAATGATAAAAGCAGGCTTGTGAACTTGGCTTTGAGCCCTTTGAATAAGGATTGAATTTTAGAAAATGATAAATTTTGGGGTAACTGAGCTTATGGGCTTGAGCCTTTTAGGGTAGGATAGTGGTATGCTATATGAGCCAAACTTACCCATTTCTCATATTTAAAAATTATGGAATACAATCATCTGTTAGGGTAGGATAGTGGTATGCTATATGCCCAGCTTATTATGCTTGTCACATTAATTTTTTTAAGTACAAGTATTGAACTTGGTCTAGCAGAGATTGGGTTCTGTACTTTTATGTTTAAAAAAATTTGAAACTCGATATGCTTCAAATTGAGTTTTAAATTTATAGTATTTAAGAAAATATTTTTAAAAGTGTAACATATTGATAAATAATTTTTTTTTTGTGGTACCGTGGTCAAGTTGCCTTACTTGGTTATTAATAAATAAAATTAGCTCCAATGGCATTTTTATAGATGAATTCGTTTACTAAAAGATGCTTTAAAAGGTACGTGCAAAAAGAGGTTAAAAGAGGAAAAATCTCAAACTGGACAAATCTGGGAACTGGTCTTTCATTTTAACCTAGCCCAATGCCAAGGGCCTTGGTGTAATTAGAGTCAAGATACCTTCAAGATAAAGCGGTGGAATGCCAATAACAAAAATGACAAGAAATATTAAAGCCGAGTTCTCTCTCTCAAACCCTCTTCTTTTGATATTAGAGTGCTGATTTGAGACTTTTGATGCTTCCTCTTTAGTTTCAGATGCTTTGATGTCTTGGGATTAAAACGGGAGAAAACTGGGGGGATCACACCCTAGGAGGAGGCTAGACCTATAACTTGCACCTAAACTTCTACCGAGTGATGAAGTGACCCAGCAATGAGGGAATTGGAGTTATGCCCTTTCTTCAGAAAGGAGGGAACCCAGAAGGAAATCATCTGAAAACAACGCCCTCAACTTTTATTGATAATTGTTTGATAAAAGCCTTTTAACGATGAATTTGTCCTATGAGTTATAGGTAGAAACGTGGGCTGTCTTAAAAACAATAACAAAGTATGACTATTGCTTTCAATTGAAATGGAAAATTAATTGTATTGAGGGAGGCTTTAATTCTCTGCTGCAGCGGCATGATTATGTATTTCTCTTCTTTACAGCTGATGCACCTCCTGTGTCTATCCCTCTTCTTAAAGTACAGTGACAATAACAAAGAAATATATAACCACAGAGAGAGCATTCTAGTGATAATGTTGCGTTCAACATAACGTGGAACTTTACAGTGAAGAGGGTAAGCTGTGCGGGCAAACATCCCAACAAAATCAGCCTGCAGAAGCCTAGGACAAGGAAAGTTTCAAAAGCAAGCCAAGCAAAGTTCCAATAAGACCCACGAAAATGGCAAAGCCGAAGGAAAAGCCCTGATCACTTCCACGAATTTTTCGCCTTTTCATCATGTCCTGCACATCAACAAAACAGATGGATTGGTTAAATTTGCACCGGCCAACTACACAGTATATTATGCATCTTGGGTTTCAAACTACAGGCGTAAACTAAACATGGACAACAACAAATTATAGTAAAGAAAAAATATCCAGCACCCCAACTAGAACTGAACATTTCTCATTCAATCAGTTTCTCTTTAAAGTTTAAACCATAAACCTGATCAATAAGCCCCTCTATCTGCACCGTTTCCTAGCAAACTTTCCTGTCATGCCTTTATATCTCCCTAAATGTCAATACATTTTCATTCTACCAGCATACAGGAAACGAGGACATGTTTTTACGATGAGAAATTAAACTGTCTACAATGGTCAAAAGCAACCTGGGTCCTCTGTGCCGTTGTTGTAATAAAAGATCCGGATCTTCCAGCATTCGATTCGAAGGGTCCAAATATTCTAGAGCCGAGTATTATGAAGGATTGATGAAGTAAGAAATGAGGGAATAGGAAGGAATTCCTTGTTAATTTATGAAACCAATATCTGACTTCATAAATCAACTAAGTCATGGGGAATCTCTGAAGGAAGTTTCTAAATAATTCATCACACTTCATAACATATTGCACTTACTTATGCTTCCATTTCAACCAGGATAATCTGCACACAAGCTACTAACTACCTTCTAGGTATTAGACACCTATTCTAAAATAAATAAATACTTGAGACTTGGATAATAAATCAACAATTACTTGACATCTAGACAGATTTCATAACTATCTAATCCATAACTACTATTTGAAAACTATTTCCAAAGACCGATTCTTCACATATCCCCTTCTCCTGGTACGTTTGTGCCTCCTAGGGTATGAATGAATGATAGGAGGAACTCTTTCAGTATTCCTCTGTTCTTCTTTTCCTTTTTCTTGCATTTTTCTCAAGGGAGGAGAGCACAAATGATACTTGAAGTTGTAAATTATATTCATAACTAGATGTTCAGTCATGTCAGACAAATATTGGAACTTCGAAGTATATTTCTAAATCTAAGCTAAACCAAAACCCCCTTGACAAAGGAGTAACGTGAGATAACAAGTTCATAATTACCAGTTCCTGTCGCAGTTGCATCGTTTGTCTATTAGCAGCATCTCTTTCTTCTTTCAGGCGCTGTAAAGCCTGACTCTTCATTCAAAGAAAATTGAATCGTAAAAAATAGCTTAAGAAAATAATTGGCTAACGTACAACAATGATAAGCCTGCCTTGAATTTGATCATGGAGGCATTATATACCATAATGCAGGCAAGAGTTTACTATAATTCCCACCATTTTATGACAAGTGACTACAAACTTAAATAGCATAATTTGGTAGTGATTCGTTGTGATTAAAAACTGGAACACAAAAAAAAAAAACAAAGAAAGAAAGAAAGATCGAAAGTAAATAAAAGATAGAGGAACCACTGGTAGCCTGATTCTAGTTCTACCCTGATAGGGGAAGAAATACAACAGAGGCAGATGTAGTTTTGCTGTGAAAAATTTCGCAGTGGGAAATTCCTCACAGATTTTACTGCCCCCACACTATGGCTTTTCTTTTCCCTTTCTATTCAACATGCGTAGTCAAATCCTATAATGCAACTTCTGCATTAGTGGTCTATGCATTCATATGATGGAACAAAAGTCCTCACAAAACTCAAGAATTGAATGTGACGTCCAAACTGATTTAATTATTTGCTGCTCTTTGGTCAAGTCATCAATAGAAATCTGCATATTCTCATTTCCCTGGCTTAAGTCATTGGAAATTTGAATTTGTTTTGCCTTTCTAAAGGGCGACCAGCCTAAGTGCATTCCGGTTTGATAAATGAGATTGAGATGCAACATCCGGGTAAATGCAAGGAATGACCAAATAAATGAAGCATAAAACGGCAATGAAGGTTTCAGAAAGGAGGGAAGAAAAAATATAAGACTCACAGAATCAGAATCAAGATCTTGTATGGACCTCTTCAATGCTTCATCTTCCAAATTTCCTTGAGCTGAGTTAGGGCAGAGAAATACAACTCTTAGTCTGCATTCCTCTATTGTTGACTTTCCACTATCCTTATTAAACTGCATGCCAAACTAAAGCGTTGGTGATAGAGTTCTCCTTTAGGAAACTGATCTTTTGAGACAAAGACAGTGTTGGCTTTCTTACAATATCTGACGAAAGCTCATCAACCTTAGTATTAGGATTCACTACTGTACTCTGTAAGAGAAACTTGTCTTTCCGTTGCACCTCGGTAGGATATTCATGCTGGACATGGAGTGTGACTGTAAAACCCCAACAAAAAATAAAAAATAAAAAATGATAGATGCTAATACCGCAGCATGATAAGAATTCAAAAGCAAATTGTATACAAGATATTTTTTAAGCCAAACTGAAACAAAAGGAGAGAATTGTAAGAAAATAATACACCGAAGGCCAACTCGGGGGGAATATCAAAGGTTTGTTCTTTGAAGCCTACAAGTAATGAGCCAAAAAACAGGTCTTTTGGGACCCTCAAGACCACAAATAGAGTATTACATTCTCCAAAATAAGCTTCTATTTACAGATTCCTCTCAGCGATGTGGAAGATAAACGTTCACTTTCCATGCCTTATATGGAACAGATTATGTCTAAATGCATGTCAAACCAAACAGCACTTTGTTTAGATGTATATCTGGATTCACCTCTGATGATACATGAGTCCTCCGGTTGCACAATGCCAGTGTTTGGCCGTACGAAGTACTTCTTAGGTGAAGTGGTTTTGACCTAGAATTTGATCAGAATGCACTGAGAATCAGCTAAAGAGAAGTGTATCAAGCAACGAGAAGTATGCTCACGCTTATTCAGTTAACGAGTACCTTAAAAGCAACGTGGTGTCCTGTGTTGTTCGAAACTTTAATTTCACAAAATGATGGCTTCTCCAGCTCAACTGATTACATGAATTTCGTAGGAATAACTGAATCAGAACTCAGACATCTAAATTAAGGAAACAATAGAGGGAAAAGATTCAGATTTCAAGGTAACCCTAATAGCTTTTCACATGCAAAACCTTCTATGCATTCCAATCATAGCTCAAGACATCTCTACCAAATCAAAATATTCTGCTTTCCGGATTCCTATAACCTAACTAGCATGCAATCTTGAAAACAGAAATAGTAATGCTTGAATTTCTAACTGATAAATGCCAAATAGAACAGCCAACCAGATTGGTCCACATAGTCATGGGATCAAATCCCATTCGATGTGAGTACCTTTGAAAGCGTTTTAAGTCTGAAGATATATGCCTTGGCTTTGGTGAGTCACCAGACTCAACTCATCTAAACTTTCTTTCACAAAAAAATGCCAAATAGAACCGTGACAATATCCGACTGATTTTCAATATGTTAATATGGCAGGGGAAAGGCAGAATAAACCCAGCAGGTTTGTCATTTGAAAGTCATGCGCACTTCAATCACTTCAAAGTCCTTGTTTTGGTTCCCAAGAAGCGAAGGAAACGAATTACATGTCAATTTCATGTGTGATTTAACAACGGCCGGTGACATTTCATTTCAAGCAAAATATACAACCTCCACATATTCCGTTCTTTCACCCAAAGGTTTCTCGGGTATGACGTTAAAAAATTCTGGTTCAGATTTTGATTGTCAGTCTCTTAAATTTCTCATTATCATCAACGTTACTTCCCAAAAAAAAAAAAGGACAAGAAACTTATTGTCATCACGATCCCAGAAGAATGACGCGCAGGCACGGATAAAAACGCGATGGATGCAGAAATATCCATCGCGAAGCCATCGATTAATAAACGAAAATAAGAAATAAAGTAATGGATAGAAAGGAGGAGGGGGTGAGGGGAGGAATGTGAAGGGTACAGTACATACACTGAAATCTGAGCTCATCGGGAGTAACAGAAATGAGTGAATTTCCAACAGCAGCAGCAGAACTCATGACGAAGCCTAGACACAAAATGAGAGTTTCCAGAATCGCCAACTGATTAAAGCAACAGAGGGAAGCATCGGAGGGAAGGGGGAGGGGGGGACAAATTTCCGAAAGAAGCGGGAGAGAGTGGGATGAAATAAGAAGAGATGGTAGAGAAAAGGAATGACGGTTACGATATGGAGGTGGAACGAGGAGCATGGGCCACCGATTGGGAGCACGACTCAGGAGTTAGCCCACCCTCCGATGTGTGCGGCAAAACTAACTGTCAACGCTTCCTGGCAGGGAAGGGCACAATCGTCACTCTATGTTGCGTCCAATGGAGCCAACGCCCTCCTCGACACTGTGGAGGGAAAGGGAGGAAAAAAAAGGGAGAGACCCTGGTCCTTTACTATTCAACAGCGCTAACATTGGATGCCACGTCTCTGTTTCTTCAACTAATTATCGCCCTTCTTTTCCTGAATAAATTTATTCACAAGCTAAGAACGTGCTTTTACTTTTTACTGTTTGTCATGCTACATGTGTACATGCACGCCCACTAATTTATGCTTTTACTTTTATTATTATTATTATCATCATCATCATCATTATCAGAAGCTGTAAATGGAGCCGTGAAAACAGGCCGAACTCATTTGGCCTACCCATTTAAATAGAAGGCTGATCTTGAGTGTTGGGTGCTTCAATGAATAGTCAAGCCAGTCTGAATGGGTTTTAAAAAAAACGAGTTGCCCCTTTCAGGTCATGAGACAGCCCGTTTAAATTCATGCATGTATGTGTGTGTAATTGTTAATATTTAATAAAATGTGGAGAGAGAACCCAAATATTAAAAAGAGTAAACATATTTAAAAAAACCCTTAACAAAATCTTGATATTTTTGTCATGCCAGCATCAGGACGATATTGTTTTATTGATATTTTAAAGAACACTATTTGATTTATTAAGCTTTTGTTTGGTTTGGTTTTAAGAATTTGAGCAATTCGACATTTTAATTGGCTAATTTTATTTATAATTTAATTTTTTTTATTTTCATATATTTATTTTCAAAAAAATTGAAAAAATAAACATTAGAAGAACCAAAAAAACCTTAAGGCTAGCCCAGCCCTGACCCAGCGAAATTTGGGTCAAATTTTACAAATAATAAAGTTTTTTAAACCCAACACCATCAAAGGCAGGCCCATTTTCCCACCCCTACCTGTAAAACATAAACTATAGATCCGATCATTTAGCTCGGGTTCAAACCACTGACGGAATCGGGTCAAAGATGTAGCATTACGATGCCAACATTTTCTTCGTCTTTTCAATAACTGATGAGATTCATTAACCTGATGATGGGGTTTGCGTAAATAAGTGCATTAGAACTAAAACAAGGGAACAAAATGATTACATCGTACCTCGTTATGACTACTCGGATAATTAATTATGGAAAAGAAATACGACAGAAATGTCCGTTCCAAAAAAGAAATAAAAATATGACAGAAATTTTCTTACCAAAGAAAAAATGGCATAATTTACTTTACAGCCAACCAATCGAACTAATCGAAATGCTTATTCCAATTCAGCACACCCCATTTTGAAGACGAAACAAGAGGGGAAGTGAAAAGCCACACGGGATCACTTGAAAGTGGATAGTCTGGGAAGCTTGTCTCTCAGATAATACAATCTGGCCCTCCTCACCTTTCGGTGGCTTACTACTTTGATTTCTTTGATATTTGGCGAGTACCTGTGACAAGAAACATGAACAACGATATCAGACAGAATATCACAATGACAATCTGGAATGACCTTCGGAATAAATGCTACGGAGATGAAAAGTTACATTGAACATGAGCATCATTTGGCAACCTCAATTTGAACATTTAGCTACGTTGTTTGGATAACTTATTTGAGATTGTAAAGTGGGGATTTAACAAAGCTCACCCAGACTCATTTTTCATTAGTTATGAGGAGTGCTCTGTATAAACAAGCCAAAAGAAAATGCCACGGCCAGAGCATACAAATTAAACATAAATTACAGCATGTTTTAATCAATTAATAGTAAACATGAATCTAGCAGTTAAAAGCCCAATTCCTTTTTTTTTTTTTTTTTCGGGATAAAATGTTCAACCATAGATATGAATGCCCCATCTCCCGTCATTCTTCCTACAGGGAAGAGATGGGACGGCGCTTTTGGGCTGACTTCTATTACAAGCAACATTTTTGAAGGAAGTCATAATTGACTTTTTATAGTTTTCTAGGTTTCTTATATTTATGTGTGTATGCATGTAGATAGAGAAAGAAAGAAAGATCTAGATAGATACATAGATATACAAGTTGGGAAATAACACAGAACAAGATGCCTTAATAAGAGTTTACAACCCTCCCAATGCATAAAGATGGGATGAACTAGGCCTCTCCAACGCTAAAATCAATTCCACAACAACGTCAACCAGTTCCATATCAATTGTCTAACAGCCCTCATTTTAACAACCTACATAATTACCTAGGAGACCAGTGTGGATGATGCATGTGTCACTTTAATGCAATATACGTTCTCAGCAATTTCAATTTAATATTTTAGTCATTCAATGCATTTCAGAAGAATTTCCCCTTTCAGCAGGAAGATTTTATATCCTCGTCAAAACAACAATTAACACAAGGTGTTCTGGCACAATGAGCAACAAGATTATCCACCAATGCAAATGATGATAATAGTCCATTAATGTAAGGGAAGACACTTACACTGGGAAAACTATCTCAACCCCCACTCCGGCAATAATTCTTCGGATTCGAATTGTTGTGTGAATGCCAGCATTTTGTTTTGATATAACAATACCTTTATAAACAGACAACCTACGCCTGTTTTCAGGAACCTCCTGAAAATAGGATAAAGAAGACCGCAATAAATTTCCTTTCAACTCAGGAATCTTAAACAAATAAAAGATAGAAACAAATTACCAATTTAATTTCCACAATATCACCAGTCCTTAGGTCCGGAGTTGGCCTCTCCTTATCAGAAGCCTCAATTGCTCTCTGATTCAATATCTACAAGAACAACAGAAACGCATCTCTTGACTTTGTTTCACAGTTTACTATGTCCTTAGGGGTTCAAATCACACACAAAGAACCAAATGCCAAATGAAAGGTGATGGCATCCAAAAATTTAAAATTGAAAGGTATCTTGTTAGAGATCATACTTCCAAATAAATTACATTATGCATTTCAACAACACAACGGACAAGATTTTTGCATTGAAGGATTATTTAAAAATACGGATATCTTTATCTCACAAATGCTTTTTGCTGGGCTTTAAAATGCTTCAGCAAAAGATGTACGCGGCAGCAAGCTCAAAATCAAGTAGCAAGCCGTTATGGAGGAAGAACTATACCCGTCAAAATCCTCGTCTATCACGCCTGTAAACATTTCAAGTTTGGAGAGCAATACTACCTGCTCAGTTTGACCATATTAAACAACTCTACGTGTCCTTACAAATAGCAACGGACACAACAACCATACATTACATTAAGATCCACCTAATCTCCTTACCTATTTCCACAAATTTCTGATAACTAAAGTGCTCCTCTAAAAATTAAACAAATCATGAAGACGGGTTAAATTACAAAAGGGAATTGCTAGATTACCCCCATAATATCTCCGAGCCTAACTCGAGGCTTTCTGGGAGGCTTGGGTTCATCTACTTTAGGATCAGAGTCCAACTCTTCCGCTTCAGCTTCCTGAACTTCTTCAACAATGGCCGACTCAATCTCTTCAACATTATCAGTACCTTCACCGCCGCTTTCGGAATTCGACTCAGCTCTCACAGCAAACGTAGACTTAATTGGTTGGGCAACGAGAGGACTGCAACTCCATGAAATTGAGTTCGAAGTAACTCTAGAAAACAACGGAAGGCTACAAGAACCAAGCGCGGAGGGGCAGCAAAACACCATAGTAGGTATACCCAACTTTGGGGGGAAACATTGATTGGGGTTTTGTGGCATGGCACACAGCGCCTGTAAACTCCAAACCATTAGCAAAACGGGAAGCATGCATCAAAATGCTGGCATAAAGGTACAGAAAGGAACGAAAGTGATAACCTGATTAAGAATTTGGGGCGCCATGTTCAAAAGAAAAACTAGGGTTTTGACAGAAATGGAGAAAACGGTCACTGCGTGAAGGGCATGAGAGCCCCAACTGCTCTTGAACTGTGAGCGAGAGGTCAGCAGGAAGGAATAAGAAGGCCTTATCTAATTTTATCTCTCCCTCAGTCCTCCCCGGTTAACGGATTGCGCTCCCTTCCCTCATGCGAAATAAATAAAATTAAACTACGCGAGGTGGTCTTGTCCATACAAAATGTAATGGAAAACTCGCTCCTTCTTTCAATTAGAACGGAGGCACCTGCCATAATATGAGGGTTTTGCGAACTCTTTAACAAAGATCTTTGATTTTTTATGATATAGATTTCTTAATTTCTTATTTTACTTTTGTTTGATTTGTTATTAATATATTTAGATTTTCTCATTTAGACTTAATTTAAAGCCATATATTTTTATAAATTTTTTTTTGGCTTTTTAATATATTTGATCCTTTTATCAAGAAAAATTAGAGGGGAGGCACTAAAAGGTGAAAGTTGACATTACGAGCACTAACCATTCATAAACTTTAACTTACATCGGAGCAGTATGTTACTAGGCTATAAGATTATTGGATCGAAACAAACCCACTCTAGGAAACCTCTTATAAGCCTATTTTATATGGGCTCATGCAATCCTGGTTTCTATACGTTTGATCATTTTCTGAATTCAAAATGCATTAGGTTAGGCCTAGTAACCCTTTTTTTTTAAAAAAAAAATCAACATCAGAACATCACAAATTAATTAAATTATTCTGAAAAAACAAAACAAACAAAACAAATCTTGATCCTCAATTATATCATGATCATAAGTAAATCTTGTATTTGCTAATTACTCAAGGTATACATGCATAAATTGTATATAGATAAGATAAGAGAAGATGACCAGTTTCAATTTTCAAATTATCAAGACAGTCCTTTATATAAAAAATCATCATCATTTTGCAAAAGATATTAATGTTAGAAAAGTTTCAAAAATTTTAAAAAGAAATATCACATTTCGTGAGATTTCATTGTCATTTGTATATTTCAGAAGAATTATTTTTTCATTATTTTTCCTAGAATGAGGCTCTAAAATTACATATAAATCACTTGTAATCTCAATTTTTTGCTATCAATATATAGATAAATTATTTAAAAAATTAAGTAAATATGCTTGAAATTATTTGTTATGTTAGTAGAGAATTTAAGAGAATCAATTGTGAATTATATAACGTCTTAATTTTAAAGTTGAAATTTAATTATATAAATTATATGTTAATTGAGGATTTAAATTAAGATTGTGATTATTTTAAGGTTTAATTGAGAATATATGTGCTTTGGGAATTCAATTTTGATTTTACTGTGAATTTGAGGTTTTAATTAGGAATTATATGTGGTTAAAGTTTATGGATAGTAATTAATGATTTAGACACTTAATCATAGACTAAATTAGGCCAAGAATCATATAAGAGTGTCAATTGGGATCCAAAATAGGTTTTAGGCTGCGTTGGATCTAAAATGGTGGACTTTGCCCGTTCTACCATTGTCCACTCACAGACAAGCATTCACTAGCTTGATCGCACATGGACATTAACAAAGGTGAAAGGCATATTGAAAATGGATTCTCCAAGCACAAACATAAATAGCCTAGTCACAACTGCGCGAGCGAGCTATTTTATATCATCATTTGTTTCATCAAACATATCAGTTTTCGCAAGAGGGAGGAAGGAAAAAGAGAGAGAGGGTGTGATGGAACTCTGCAAGGGCAAGGATATTTTAGGCTTTAGAAGTGTTTTTGAGCTTGGAGGGCATTTAGGGTAAGTTCATAACTTCCTTTTCTCCCTTTTTACTCTAATTTATTGGAAGTGGTTGATTTAAGAATAAATGTTATTGTTGAAGTTATTGGTGGTTAAATAAATGCTTTATTACTAGTACTATTTTGTTAATGAAATGTGAATTTGAGGCTTATAAGTTAAATCTTAGACTTCTATAAATAGATTTTTATTTAATCTGAAAGAATAAGAGGATTTTTGTGATGTTTGAATTTTTATTTGGAATTAAAAACATGTTTTTTAAGGTTTTAGAATAATGATTCTAAACTTGAGACTCACTTTGTAATTTTTACATATTTTTGATGCATATTTATGGGATTGAAAAGAGAAAAATTATGGTGTTAAAAATGTTTTACAAGAGTGATTGTGGCCTATTAAGGGGGGTGATTACGTTAGTAGGGTAGTTAGAACTTGGATTGGTCATGCTAACCTTAGAATTAGTATAAATAATGAAATGCAAGGTGTGAGCCATGTCCTCTAACTATATGATTATAGTTGTCTTATTATAAATATTATATCATGTGTAAATTATATTGTTGACGAAGATTGTGGTGAAAGATAAGTTATAAGAGGTAAATTATTGTTAGAACTATAAGGTATCATGCTTTAATTTGTTATTAATGTTGTCTATTGTTATTTGTGTGATTACTGAGAAGACATATTGAAATAGTTATTAATAGATTATATTGCTATGTGTATTGAGAAATTGTTAGAATTGTGAATATGTAGTTTGAATTATTGTTCTCATGTAGGATGTTAAGTTGTATTGTTGTAGATGAGAAAACTACAAAGACTGTGATGTTGTATAATTATCCATTGTTAACGTTAATTGCTTGACTGTTGTGGGAAATGTTAGGAGACTTGTTATTATTGTTGTTGTTGTATTTTGTGCCATGTGTTACACCTTTATTGGAAGCCTAATAAGTGGCTTGTAAAAACTCAAGCTAGTCTATATTTGGATGGATGACCAAGCATTGAGTAAGAGTTACGGCTTGAGATTAATGGAGGAAGATAAAAGTGGTTATTTGTCATGTAATATAATATCACTTGTATGTGTTTTAAATTTATTATTGTTAATTATTTTCTCACTTAGCAAGCTCACATATAACTGTTTGCATGCATTATTATAAACTGGCATTGGTTACTAGGACTTTTAAATTTTATTATTGTGGTTAACAATTTTGAGGAGAAAAGTCTATTGTGGCGTACGGAGGAGTTCCTGAGGCTTAGTAGTGTGATTCCGATACCTTTTTAGGTATTTTGGTTTTATGATTTTTAGTAATTTTGTTATTGATAATTATATAAATTTGTTGTATGATCATGCTTTTCAAATTGTTACTAATTGTGGCATTTTGCTGGATAGTTGTAAAATGTGAATATTGATTTATTTTAAATGATTTAAAATGGCATGATTGTAGGGGTATATATTTGGCTTATTTTGAAAGTAATTGCATTGCTTATTTTGGATCGTTGGGTTATGGTTTGCACTTATCGGGAACATAAGGTTGAAAAAAATATAATTTTAACCTAATGGCATGTGATAGGTTAAAATTTATATGGAATGTTGCATTGTACAAACCCAAACCAAATATTAGATGCCTTTATATTAGTCTCCTTGATATAATTTGCGTTGAATGACTATAATCTAACTATGGCTTATTTTGTGTTGGAATGACAAAACTAATGAATACGCATACTGTTTAAAGTGTTGCAAAGTGTTTACAAGTTTTTGACATGCATACTAGTTTCTAAATCTCTAATTTATCTTTATTTGCCATGTGTTTAACTCTTGTGAAATCATTTGGGCATTTTACACTTATTTTTGTTTATAAATATTCGGGATCTCAAAATTTAAAAATAGTTGTTTTAATAAGCTAAATTTTATCTACCATGTAGTCCTTTTTAAAAAGTAAATTATTTTTATAAATTATATTTTATTATTTTCTACCATGATAGTTCCTTTTCACTATGACAGTATGTTTTAAAAGATATTAGTTATCCTTTATTTATCATGATAAACTCCTTTCTATCATGGCTAAACTAAATAATTTGAAAAAAATTTTAGAGCGTTACAAATCGAAAGCCAAATACTTAATGCTTTTTTGTCAATATATAGATAAATCACTTGAAAAATTTATTAAATGTGCATAGAATTTTTTGTAACGTTAATTAAGAATTTACGAGAGTCAATTGTGAATTACAAGCTAAACACTTGTAATTTTTTACTATCACTTAAAAATCAATAAAAAGATAATTAATAATCTTTGTAGCATAAATTGAGAATTTATTATAATTTATCGTAAATATCAAGTCGATAAAAAATAATTTATTACAAATAAAAACCATAATGTTGTTAAAATTTTAATAATTTAGGATGTGTTATTCTCATTAATATTCTTATAAAATCCTGAATTATCATTTTTTTCATTTATATTAATAGCTTAGTGCCATTTTTTTCTATCAATGTATTTTATTATTAATAATTTAATTGAAATAAAATACACACAATTTATCAAGGGGGCATAGAGTTTAGGGTGCAACTGGTTGAGTCGTTAAATTAACTTATCATGCATCTCACAATCAATTAATTTATTGAAGTATAATTTAATTAATAGTGTTTGTATTTTTCTAGTGGAGGGAGTAACCTCTAAAAGATTAAATTAATTAAATTTCAATTCAAAAATAAAGATTGCATGCTACTAATTAGGGCTGCACAAAGAACAGGATGGCACTGAATTTTACCCTAACCCAAAATTTGGTCTCTTTTATGGAAAGGACTGGGTTAGACAACCCGTAGTTCAGTCTTATCCAGTGATAACCCGAAGATTAACAGGATTGGACTTGATCCATAGGACTAGGAGATCGGTCCTATCAGTCCAGTACTCGCTTATTGTTTTTTTCTTCTATGACAGGCAATAATCTATTTCAACCTAATAAACTCAATTAAGATAGTAAAAATACCTATAATAATAATAATACTAATTTTTAACAATAAAAAAAATATTTCTGGTATAGTCCATATAATTTAAATTTATAACTTTAACAAAAGCAGTACTTAACAAAATTTAACAACACTACATTACAACAATAATTTATAAATAAACTTAACAAATCTTTATACAATCATCTCCTTCACATCAATTACACTTGAAGTATTTGTTAAAAATAAATTAATTATAATTATAATAAAAAAATTAATAAGACTGAACTAGACTAAGTGGTTTGAATGTCTAGTCCCTTATTTAATCCAACTTAAAAAAATAATTTAATTTTCTTTATTTTTTTAATTTATAAATATCAGTATTTATATAAGGGATCATCTTGAGTTGGATTGACCCAAATAAGACCGAAGGCAAAGTCCTACTACTGATAACTAGTCACGCCCGATCCGCAAGAAAAATGCCAGGTGTAGCTGCCGAAAGACTATGCGGACCTCAACCGTCGCGAAAAGCCCACTCCGTCACTCACTACATTCCCGCCCTCACACGTGTCGCCAACCACGTCATCCATGCGGTTCAACACTTCATAGTGACTGCCACGTGCCCCACCTCCTCCAGTCCTCCCCCTCACTCTAGTCTTCACCACGCCTGCCTTACTGCGCCCGACTAATAGAAACTGGCGAGTTTGGAGATGAATTGAAAAGTACGAAAAGATGGGTGCATTGTGAGGATGATTTTGTGATGAAAAGGATCCTCTAAAGTTCAGGCATGTTACCATCCCCTTTACGTATCGCTCACGCTTCGTGAAAATTCAACCTTCGCAAATTATATTACACCGCAGTGCGCAGATGATTCCTTGCTTCATCTCAATGATGTGTCAGCGTTCTGGAACAACCGGGGGAACCCCACCCTGGATTCTTCTCATGAGAAGCGTCAGAGGCAAGGATTGGCGCCTCAAAACCTACAGATATATAGTTCTGATGATCACATTCATAGCATATGCTTGCTACCACGGCATCGTCAAGAGCGTATTGCATCCTCACGCTTATCCTAAGCTCACCCACGATCCTAAGTTTATGGGTAAAGGGTAGGCCCCCTTTGAAGGACCCGATGGCACTTCGAAATTGGGAGAGATTGATGTTTGCGTTCCTAGCTTGTTACTCTCTGGGAATGTATGTTGCCGGCCATTTGGGGGATACTCTAGACCTTCGATTGTTCTTAACCACGGGGATGGTTGGGAGTGGAATTTTTGTTGGGCTCTTTGGGATGGGGTACTTCTCGAATGTTCACTCTTTCTGGTTCTATCTTGTAATGCAAATGATGGCAGCGTTATTTCAGGCAACGGGTTGGCCTTGCGTTGTTGCTGTGGTTAGAAACTGGTTTGGGAAGGGGAAGAGGGGATTGAATGATTGATAATGGGTATCTGTAATGCTCACATTTCTTTTGGTAACATAAGTGGCTCACTTCTCGCTGCTAGTGTTTTCGACTTTGGGTGGGGTTGGTCTTTCATTGCTCCAGCATCATTAATGGTACTTGGAGGAGGATTGATTGTTTACTTGTTCTTGCCGGCTTATCCAGAGGAGGTGCATTATGGTGAAGAGGCTCAGCCTCAGATTATTACATCAGAAGGGGAGGCAGATTTGGCTTCTGTAGAAGGCTCTGTGAGTAGAAAGAGTGTTGGGATTATTGAAGCATGTAGGATCCCGGGAGTAATAACCTTTGCGCTCTGCCTTTTCTTCGCCAAGCTTGTTGCCTACACGTTTCTGTAGTGGGGGCCGTATTACTTAAGTCGGACAGGTGAACATGAATCTACTTTCGTTTTAGTCGTAACATTTTTTTCAGTTGGTTATTTATTGGCTGAGTTAGATTTTAGAGATGTTGATAGTTGGAGGACAAAAGAGCAATTAGTGATCACCTGTGGAGACACGTGGGTCCGCTGAAGAGAATGTACTTGATCACATTTAGGAGACTTTTTCAGTTCTTCACTAATGATTGCTTCTACAAATGTTCACTGCTAGAAATTCATCAATTTCGTTGTGAACTTGTGATGTCATGTCAATGTGTGTATTGAAAACTGACCAAATTCTCCTGCTTACAATTTTTTAACCTGGCAAATCAATTTCGGGATTTGATAACTCTGATAAAGGAAAACCATTCCAACTGACAGTGAGTAACCCCATGCAATTGGAGGTCTCTTAAAAGTCTAGTTTTTGGTTCAGACTACTCAGAATTATAAACTACACAAAATTTGCATATGATGATGCAGCCAACTTTATCCATACTACCCAATCAATATGCATCTGACAGTACACAACCCCATGCAAGTGGAGGTCCCTAATAATTTGCTCTGTTTTCTTTTTTTCTTTTTTCTTGTAACAACAACAACAACAAGCCTTTATCCCACTAGGTGGGGTCGGCTACATGAATTGCAAGACGTCATTGTGTTCTATCATTTATTAAGCTTTTAGAAATATTATTAATTAAGAGATCACGTTCAACAACTTCCAAGAGTGTTCTCTTAGGCCTTCCTCTACCTCTCTTAATCGGACTCAAGGTTATATGTTCCACTCTTCTCACTGGTGCCTCCCTTGGTCTTCTTTGTACATGCCCAAACCATCTCAACCGATTTTCTACCATTTTTTCCTCAATAGGTGCCACCCTCACTTTTTCACGTATGTGCTCATTTCGAATTTTATCTTTACGTGTATGTCCGCACATCCATCGTAACATTCTCATCTCTGCTACTCCAACTTTATGCTCTTGCTGTCCCGTTAGAGCCCAGCATTCACTACTATATAACATTGCCGGTCTGATAGCAGTACGATAAAACTTTCCTTTAAGTTTATTAGGCACCTTACGGTCACAAATAACTCCTTTAGCTTTTCTCCAATTAAACCACCCAACTTGAATTCTATGTGAAATATCTCCACTGATTTCGCCATCATTTTGAATAATGGCTCCCAAATATCTAAACTTTTCCACTTGAGATATAATTTGATCTCCCAATTTCACTTCCAAATTATTTTCGAATAGTCCTTTACCAAATTTACAATATAAATATTCCGTCTTACTTCTACTCAGACGAAAACCTTTCGACTCCAATGTCCTCCTCCATAACTCAAGTTTGCAATTAACCTCTTCTCTTGTCTCTGCTATAAGAACTATATCATCCGCGAAGAGCATACATTTCGGGATTTCCTCTTGAATATGTTCCGTCAAAACATTTAAAATCAAGTTGAATAAATAAGGACTCAGAGATGATCCCTGATGTAGTCCAATCTTTATAGGAAAATCCTTTGTTTGACCACTAGGCGTTCTTATACTAGTTTTTACCCCCTATACATATCTTGTATGGCTTTAATATAAGCAATCCGTACTCCCTTTTTTTCCAACGCTTTCCAAAGCACTTCTCTTGGTATACGGTCATAAGCTTTTTCCAAATCAATAAAAACCATGTGTAGATCTTTATCTTTACAACGATACTTTTCCATTAATTCCCTTAGTAGATAAATTGCCTCTGTAGTTGATCTACCTGGCATAAAACCAAATTGATTTTCAGAAATACTTGTCTCCAATCTCAACCTGTGCTCAATTACTTTCTCCCACAATTTCATTGTGTGGCTCATGAGTTTAATCCCTCTATAGTTAGTACAATTCTGAATATCTCCTTTATTTTTATAAATAGGAATTAATGTACTTCTCTCCACTCATCAGGCATTTTCTTGGACCGTAAAATCACATTAAATAACTTAGTTAACCATCTCACCCCTTCTTCACCTAAACATTTTCACGCTTCGATAGATATACAATCAGGTCCGTTAGTTCTACCATTTGCCATTTTCTTTTTTCTTGTAACGTAACACTGAAATTAGCATCTACTGCAACAGTTAATCATCCTATTCTTTTTTATGATGTTACAGAAATTGGTGGGGAGTATATCTCCGTGAAATCTGCCGGCAATCTTTCTGCTTTATTGGATGTAGGGGGGATTTTTGGAGGCATTCTTGCTGGCTATATATCTGACAGACTGCGTGCCCGTGCTATTACAGCAGCTAGCTTCATGTATGCTGTATTCTTTCTATGCTTCTGTACCGATCATATGGGAATCTTTCTATGAACCTCAACATTGCACTTATGGTGGTGACTGGACTATTTGTAAATGGTCCGTATGCGCTCATCACCACTGCGGTTTCTGCAGACCTGGGTACGCACAGGTGATTCTCGTGCTCTAGCTACTGTGACTGCCATAATGGATGGCACGGGATCGGTTGGGGCGGCTATTGGCCCTCTTATTACTGGCTTCATTTCAAGAAAAGGTTGGGATGAAGTTTTTATTATGCTCATGTTGAGTGCTTTTGTTTCTGGGCTCCTTTTATCGCGTTTGGTGATAGCTGAAATTGCTGAGAAAACTGGCAAATCAATACCTCTCTCTCGTGCAAGCCATAGCCCTCGAGGTAATATGTCCCAACTTTAAATCTTCTCATTGAATGGATTTGTGGTTTGCGGAAATTGTGGTACAGACTCAGTTCTGGGCACATGATGTTAAGGTCGTCTAGCAACGTCTGTGTAAGTGAATGTTACCAAATTGAAAATATAGTTTCGCTTGAATTGAGTAGTCATTGAACTGATTTCAGTGTTTAATTGAAGGAAAATTTTTTAAGGAGTTATGACATGATTCCTGATTCACTGACTTTTTTCCTGCTTCTTTCTTTGCATTTTTCAATATAGTACAGTGCTTATCGTGCAACATCTATCCCATGGATAAGTTAGTTCTGGTGTGAGACTACAAAAGCATTGTCAACCAACATGTACTTTGTTGAAATTCTGAATAAAGGAACCAAATTATCCTTGGTTAGATGTAACCCTTCTCCATTGAAGTTGCATGGTATTATGTGAGGTTTTTTTCCAGATTTATACCCTTGTTTATACAGCCACACCCTTCTGTGAAACAATTAACAACCAAAGAAGTAGCACTCCCAATTTCTCACTGATCACACAGTTGTTTCTGCATATGTCAAACTCAATATTTGATTATTTGTCCATATGTTCATCGTTATAATGTTTCTGATGTGCTTGGACTTACTGGTGATCTTTTTGCAGCCGCTGCATCTCGGCCCCTTCTTGATGAGGAAAACTGATGCACAGGTTTGACCTCAAACTTTCAAGATCTAATTAACACTCCATTTTAATAAGAAAAACAAATCGCAAGACATGGTTAGTGGTTCTGACAGTAGCTTATAATATGGATCCTCACTTTTTGTGATATAACGTTATGATATACAAGTGGTAAAAGATGAGACATTGATATTGCTCATCTGACAAGTGAAATATATGTTGTACAGATACAAAAGGGGAGGAGCTATGGCGGTGATTGTGTAAGTCAGAAGGCAGGAGGCGGAATGAAAGTTAAATTTTGTGTGGGGTGTCCCTGCTGGAGGTGCCAAAAGTAAGGGCCATCCAAGAATCCCAGGTTTTGAGTGAAGACAAGAAGAAATAAGACATGGCTTGGCAAGTTAGATGAAGAGAGCAGTAAATTATAGTAGTAGGCTCTTTTTTCTTTTTTTAACAAGGGGAAGTGCTAATGAAGCAGTAGTCCTACAAGTCCAGTATAATACAGAGAATGTGGAGTTTCTGCGAGAAACTTGCAAAAAGACAAGGGGAAAGAAGTTGATGGGCACAACACAGGCTGTGACAGGCTGGTATGATGATTTATGCTGACGATGAAGGGGATATATGGAATGAGTAATGACGCCGTACTGGGTTCTACGAAAGACCGGGCTGTTTACTACAAGTGTTGTGAGAAACATGTAGAGATGGACCTGTCTATTTGGAAAGCACCGTTTCATCAATGCGCAGACTCTCACCACCATCTAATAATTGAGGGATTATTTGGCCATTGGCGAAAAAAGAAGAGACTTGGGGTGTGAGGTATGAAATTTCTTGGGCTGATCCGATGCTAATATGGTTAGGAGGGGCAGGAGCTGCGTTGGTCTCAAGAAATTTCTCCAACGCCACCCCAGCTCACATATTGAGACTCGGATCAACCGACCATTCAACTCAATTAATTGCATCTTGTTTGTTTCCACTCAAGTCTCGTTGACCCCCAATGTTAGTTTTGCCATCTGGCACATGAAAACGGACAAAGCTGAAAAATCAACACAGTTGACTGACCCATCACCCCATGAAAAAAGCCACTTGACTGACTTTTGGTTGTGGTCCATGCCACGTTTAACAATCAACAAACCCAACATCAAACAGTTACCAGACCCCGAATACAAGTAATGAATTTAGCACAACTAAGGAGGAGGAAGAAAAAGAAATGTCCGTCGCCTTACCTTGAGCATTAATTTCGAAATAGTCTGTTTGGAATTCCTAACCCATTCCTATGCCTATTCTGCTCATCTTGTCCCTTCTCAAGTCAGGCCATCCCTTATCATCAACATCACTTTTTTTTTGAAAAGAAAGAAAAAAGAGAGAGAGAGACGTGAGAGTGAGGTCAGATAATTGGAGTGTAGTCTAAGAATAGAGAGAAGGTTTGGGGATGGGATTGCGAGTAGGCTGCAATACTATTTAGTATTTACTTCACAGTGTGATCAATCGTGGTGGGTGACAACCTGGCCTGCCCATCACTCTCTTTTGTTCCCAGTCCCACACAATCCTCTTCGATGCTGTTGGAGAATGAATGAATCTCTCCTTTTTCTGTGGATTTGGGTTTGAGGCTGCTATGTCCTCCCCATCACTTTACCTCTTCGTATCAATCATTCATCATCATATCACTGCTTCATTTCCTGTTCTCATTACTAATTCCACGTTAAAATGAAAAATAAATGAGTAAATGACGATAATATATATTATAAATGAAGACAATTACCATTACATCCTTCCTTGGTGGCTGCTTCTTTTGTCTATAGTCATTGGCTTTTGTTAAAGTGCCCTTTTCCCCCTTTGCGGACGCCCGGATCCTTCCTGCTTTTTCCCCCTTTATAATCAACTCAGGAAATAATAACCTCACCTTTTCTTTACCAAAATAAATAAACAAATACATAATAGACCCCTTTTTCTATTGCTTCTTAATCTTATGCTCTTCATTTTTTCTTTTCAATATCAGTCAAACTTGTATTAAGATAAAAAGATTAGTGTATAAAAATTTAAGATATCTAAAGTCTCCATAAAAAAAAAAACAGCAGATAAATCAAAATACAGATATAAACCAACATCAATATTCGACCAACACCATCTTATGCTCTTTATCTTTATTCGTTTGTCTTACAAATCAAATTTTGATTTTTTTATAACTCTAAAATCATGTATTTAAAGTGAATGAAGATTATAAAAGTAACATGTATAACTTCTTGTTAAGTATCTAGTGACCAATGCTATGATATCATGTTACATATTTACATATGATTCAATTATCATTGATGTGTAGATCATTTAACGTACTGTTTTTTTTATTTTATTTTTGTTATATTATATACTTCCTACGTTAAAAAATGTAAGATATTTTTTGAGAAATTAGATGTTTAAAAATGTAAGACATTTTTAATTTTTTAAAGTATAATCATTATTATTTTTTTAAATATTCCTATTAATAAATGACTTTATATTTATTGTAGGGTATTTAATATGAATAAATATAAAAAAATAAAATTAATTTAAAAATAAGTAATTATTTTATTAAAAATAAAATTTAATTAAAAATATTTTATATTTTTTAAGAGTTGAAATAAATGATAGTAAAAATGGTAATTTACCATGTTAGATTGATGTTAGGGATTTGGACAAGATGCCCCTCCTGGTCAAGTTCTTCTCTTTTTGCACGTGTCAACTTGGATTGATAGCATGGACTATTGGTGCATCTTGGTGTGACACAAGTGGAGATTGATCTCTTGCTATATATCAATCTCAGGACGCCGTTGCTTTGTTCTTCACAGAGAGCCAATTCCTCAGCCTCTTTCTTCCCCTTGCTTCCTCTGCGACTCCCAAGTTCTCTCTTTTCCCCCGGCCATGGCGCTTACACATGCCATGTTTGCGATAGCCGTGTCCTTGGCTCTCCTCTCATTGTCCATTGCTCAGGCTCCCTCCCCTGCACCCAGAGGATCTGCCAAGCCACCAACAACCGCTGCAACACCTTCTCCGAGCATGTCAACCCCTCCCACCGCCCCATCTCGGCCTCCGACCTCTTCTACCTCGCCTTCTCCAACGTCTTCTTCCCCAGCTCCGTCACTCTCACCAAGTGCCGGAGGCCCTGGCCCATCAGCAAGCTCACCACCTTCACCTCCTCCTCCTCCGCCCCAGCCGTCGCCGTCGCCGTCAACCTCACCACAACCTAGTCCACCGCCTTCCCCAACGAGCACATCTGGACCTTCGCCGCCACTGTCAGCGCCGCCACCGGGAACACCGAATTCCAACAACACCGCTGCTGTTCATGGAAGCAGTCTGGCCTTGGCAGCCTTGTGTGGAGGAGCTGCTCTGCTTCTTGCTTAAATTCACAGCGTCTTTGCTTGAATTACATGTAGATTGACATATGTATCTGGGTAGTTATTCCACACCCCCCCCGGGGGTTCTGTTCTGTTCACTTAGATTTCGTGGATGATTCTTGAGGTGATCCTCTAGTGATTTGTTTGGGAGGTTGTGACTATCTTAGAGAGAGGTATATTACATCATTTGTCACATTGTACCGTTGTGTAGCTAAAATAAGAGAGATTTGCTGATTTCTTTTCTGGTTCCATTCCTGGTGTGACAGAGCACCTACTTGCTTCACAACTTTTTTCTGGAAATGCAAAGTCCAATTGTTGGCTCTGTTTCTAACTCCGCTAGTAACTTCAAGTTTTGACAAGAATTTTAAGGTTAGCTTAACCTATGCGAAATCAAGTAAACAAGGCCTGATTCTGAAACCCGTGAATGATGGAGGCACGGGTCCCTGATACTTAAATAGGGTTATTGGGAAAGCTCTGGTGAGCCTGAGGAAAGAAAGAAAGTGAGATTGCTTAATGGGTAATGGGATGATGAGCAACTACAAGTGTGGTGGTGGTGGAAAGATGAAAAAGGAAAGGCGGTGATTTGTTTAGACATTGGAGTGGAAAAATGTGGGAGCCAGTGTTCAAGAAGCCGTGTTTCCTCGCCACCTTGGAATTTTGTTGATGAACAAGAACAAACCCAAGGGGCACAAACAAAAGCAAAACACCACAACTCGGTTGGCCCAGCAACATCAAGTTTATTTTTAGTGGGAGTCTGCGAGTTTGATCCTGTAACTTTAATTTCAGTGTCTTCTCCTTCAACTAAAAATAAAAATAAAAAAAGAGAGTACCATGTCCATGTTATTGTATTTTCTGACCTCAATCAATGCCTCTTCGTTTTATAATCGTAACACATCTTACAAGCTGTTAATTATCCCTTTTCCCTGGCTCATCAAGGAAAGAGAGAAAATTATCCTTTTATGATAGATGAATAAATGTTCTATGATAAAAAAAAAGTTCTTTTAAGTTTTAACGAATCAGAGAATTAGAGTAGTTTTCTTTCTCGTAAAAAAAAAAAAAAAGAGAATCATGTGATCCTTTTATAATATTAGTTTTCAACATCTGGTTCGAAGACTTGGAGTCAACTTCCAAGTAAGTGTGACGGCAAAAGAAGAGAGAGAAATTGCAAGTCAGTATATGTGTGGCTGTGGTTTATTGTATTGAAATGGGAGTAGTGGGGAGGAGAAGAGTCTAGAAAGGGTGAGCACTTGAGCATAAAATCGGAACAAAAGCGTTTCTTTTCCAAAGATCCTTCAATTTATTCCAGCAGGTATTGATTCATTCTGTGATTATAATCATTTATAGAATTTACAACAACATTGAAAACGATTAAAAAGGCATTAGATTCCACTTCAAAGAGTGTTATGACGTGAAACTTGTCATGCACTAACTTCCAATTTCAACCCCAACATTACTCGCCCCTCACTGTGTGGTCCGTGACCTGTACTGGACTCGTGAATTACCAACCCATTAAATATTGTAAGCATAATTAACTGTACTAATAGAAATAGAAACTCCACGTTGTATTGCATCACCAAACTTTTCTCAATGCGAAGTTTCAATCACAGGTTAGCCACGTGGATTAAGCGACCTCATTTTTTGTCTTCCATACGCTGGAGTTCAAATAGAAGCACCCACATGTTTAATAAGTTTTGCAGAGATTTTTCCCCCATTAAATTTGAGTTTTATTCTTTTTACTCTCGGCATCGAATTGCGTTTTCCTTCCTTATTTATTCAGCTTTTATTTTTGTCGTTCCCAATTTTTTTTATTTTACAAGTTTCTAAATCTCAAGTTAAAAATAATCATTACATACTTTGGAAAACATTCTAGTTTGAATTATTCATGTAAATATGCTAGAATTTTTTTTAATTATTAACTTCAGCAATTACTAAATATGCAAATTGTAAAAAAGAAGTTGTAATTGTGTACTTCATTCTGATTATCATACAACAACAACAACAATAACTAGCCTTTATCCCACTAGGTGGAGTCGACTATATGGATTGCAAGACGCCATTGTGCTCTATCATTTATCAAGCTTTTAGAAATATTATTAATTAAGAGATTGCGTTCAATAACTTCCAAGAGTGTTCTCTTAAGCCTTCCTCTACCTCTCTTAATTGGACTCAAAGTTATATGTTCCACTCTTCTCACTGGTGCCTCCCTTGATCTTCTTTGTACATACTCAAACCATCTCAACCGATATTCTGGTTATCATAACAAAAAAAAAAAGAAATAATCATTGCTTAAAATAAAGTATTCACTGATATTTATTTTTAAATTAAAATACATTTTTATACTTATATTTTCCTTTAAAGAGCTCTTGGAATGAAGGGAGATTTTTACTCCTCTAAAATATTATTTAGTAGGAAAAATGCCCCATCTATTAATATATGGTATTTAATGCTTATCACAGGAAAGTATGGAAACAAAAATGCATTTTCATCCAAAATTATAAAAGTAGGCCAGTAATATCTTAAGCATGAAGAAAAGAAACTAATAGAGAGAGAAAGTATTCTCTTTTAAAACCATAGAGGGATCAACAGAAAATGCCAGACTCAGACGGAATAACTTGAACGCAGGCAGGCACACAAATATGAGACACGGTAACTTGAACAAATAGCGTGCCTTGTGCAAGAATATAGTCAAAACCACAATTCGACGGATCATTGATAAGTTGTTGATCTTTAACAAAGAAATTGGCCTCTCCTGCCGCCTTTGTTGGTAAAGTCTGTCACACATATAAAAGTTCTCTCGTTGCCTCCTTGAGTTTTTGCGTGCTGTGTGCAGACCTAATGATCACTTCCCACAATGTACTTGGTTGGACCACAGAAAATTATTTGTTCAATGGCCAAAAAAAAAAATTCTATTTTTGTTCTCGTGAAGAATGGCCGGCAATGGTAGCTTGTACTGATACAGTATCATGTAAGTTGTAACGAATAAACAATGAACAATGATGAGAAACCCTTACATGGGCGTTGGGGACTACAAAGCACACACTACAGAGCAAGGCAAAAACATGAAAGGCTGTCACGAGGAATGGTTGGTAAGGTAAGCACTTTTAATGAGCTCATCGTTTCTTCTTATACTTTAACCTACGTTTTTCTTTGCTTTCTTCGGCACTCAATACAATCAATACAGGGCAACTTATCTCTAACTGAAGAACTTGCATGGAGCTTGTTAGATGGTATTTTCAGGTCTTCCAACAGTATCTGGCGAAGCTTCTCGTTTTCCTCCACCAGTTCTTCAATAATTTTCTGGTGCTTCAAGACCTGAATCGCCCACCAACTTCAATAAATTTAATCTTTCAAAGCTTTAACAACAAAGCAAATAGCACAATGAACATGGTAAGAATGAAAAATTACCATCTTAAGTATGTCATTCTCCGATTGCAATCGCCTGGCCTGCAATATACCCTTGGATTAGGACACATAATATTGGATCAACCCAGGGGAACGACTAAAAAGAAGGAAGTAAAAAGAACATTCCATCAGACAAATTCACTAATCAAAAGTTAACTGATACCAACTTTATCTGCTTCAGATTTCGCGTTTGACAAAATGAATTCAGATATTAATGCAAGACTCACATGAGAACCACAAAAAACCATCAAACCTATATTCAAAAGCGTAAACTTTCAAAAACTTCATCACCTCATCCTCATTTGTTGCTCCAAAATTTTTTAGACTATCATGTAATTCCACAGGCCCCCATTTTAATAGGGAAATAAACTGATGGGGCATACATGCACAAGGGCATAAAAACTAAAATAGAGTAGCATTAATCAATAGAGATTGATATTCATCACTCCCAATTGGCAACCAATTATTTCCGGCCTCAACAACAATTCTGACCAGGAAGTTGCTATTAGCCTATTCCTTAAGTCCAATCAATCACCAGAACAGTTCTGATCAAGAGAAAAATTCCATCATCAATGCCACTATTCTGTAAGTATCCTCTTGAAAGAGTTGTTTAAACATCAAGAAAGCAATCTCTTCCATTTTATTAATCCTGAAAAAAAACTGAAAAATGTTTACCCAAAAAGAAAGCAAGGAAAGTTGGTGCACTTTAGTAGATGGAAGAAAAGGCATACATCTAATTATAATATTTGGTGGATTACTCCTATAGTTTTCCTTTGTTCTATCATCAAGAAAGATAGCAAACATGTAAACACCGAGCATTGATTGCATTGTGCATACCCCTTCATCATTTGCATCTCCCTCACCCTTCAGCAATGGATTTTGCATAAAGTCATTGAGAACCTTCTCAGTTCGACTGCCAAAAGCAGAGTCAACTGCTATGCCTTTTAATGGTGCATTTTCAGAAACTGAACCAATTTGCATAGGTTGAGACCCTGTTTGGCCTTGAGATGTTTGGTCTAGTGCTTTTGTTGCCAGCTGCATCATGTTTCCCATAGATGTTTGGTTTGATGCTGCATTGATCATGCCAATGCTACTTTGCAAGGATGATGGCAAGGCACCCCGACCAAAGGGCAGTTTGGGGGCAATTCCAAGCTTTATCATCATCTTCATCATTGCTATCTGACAAATTGAATATTAAAATTTGTCATACATAAAAAATACCAGATAATAAAAGAAACTCTTGAGATTAGAGAAAATTTAACATACTATAAGATTAGTTTGAATTTGATGCAACACGCCGGGTTTCACAGCAAGGCCTATCATAGAAGGAAAAAACTTGCTATTAACAAAATTTTTTTATAAAACATTAAATACCGCCTTCAAGTAAAGTGGCCAGATGAATATTACCCAAGTCTTGGAGCAAAGAGACATAAAACGACAACAATAAACCTTATCCTGCTAGGTGGAGTTGGCTACAAGAAGTAAAGAGAAATAAACCAGGAAAATATGATTTATTCCCTGACAAGCTCAAGGTTTCAGTTTAATGTGTACTCTAGAGGTCTAGAAAAATAGTGTCAAATCAGACCATTCACATTTTTATGCCTCAATGTACGGTGCACACAGAAACATAAAGTTTATGGTTTAGCTTCTAAATTACCTTCCATCTCCTGCACTTACTGTGATAAATTACAGTTCATGGTTAACTAATGTATATTTATTTATATGATAAAACACAGTTATATAAACCATGGAATACTTGAAAGCTGCCCTCCTAGGAGCATTTTCAAGAACCATTCATATCACACTAAAACTGAAATGCTTCTATGGATACGGAGCCTACAGCAATTGTAACATCAAAACATTAACTTATGGAAATAGTGATATGAATATCCAGTTTATAGGATGAATTCACATCATGCGTTGCAAGATCAACCAAGAAAAGAAATATATGGTTTTAATATTTCAATACAAAAAATTGTAAAAGAAACGTTAGTCTATTTTCTAGAGAACAGAGAAAAGGATACTCCCAAAATTAGTGCATAAGAATCTTCAAAACTTCAAAGAGATATTAGAAAGTGAATGCTCTTGACATACCAACTCCAAAGCCATGACCAAAACCAACTCCACATCCAATGCCCACTTCAACTTTCTTAGCTCCTAACTTCCTCAACTGAATAAAATATGAGAAACAAAAATTGATTAAAATCTTATTTATTAAGAAATTATAGAAGTAAAAAAGGAATCGAAGTTATACAGGAACCCCAGCTTTAAATATAGAAGACGAATTTTTACTCACAGAACTGTTTACATGTCTGCTAACACCAGAAAATGCATCAGTTGCTCCCCTGGTGGCACTCATTACTTGATTCAGCATGGGTATAGCACCTACATGGAATTAATTTGTCCTAGACTTAGACTGGTCAAATTTTAATTAAAAAAAAAAGGTACGCCTAAAACCATACTAAAGAAGGAAAATAATGAAAAAGCAAATCAATAATAATTCAACGGATATTTAGTTAAAAATTAAAACAAATAAAATATACAATGCCGAGAGACAAACATAAGAAATACAAAATGCATGATAATCATCTAAAGTAATTCCCCTTTGGGCTGCAGCTGCTACTTAAAAGAAATTCCCTCGCTTCGCATTCCACATTAGCTCCTTTTCTAGTATTGATTAAACAAGGTTAACGTCCAAATTTCAAACGACTAGCATATGAAACAAAATAGATACATGATTTGTTAGAAGAAGTTTGTGAATCAGTGTCCCCTTTTTTTGGTTTGAAAAAGCCACCCAAATCCATCACTGCCTGCAACAATTCAAAGAAACAAAGTGGGTGAAAAAATGAAAGGGTTGAAGAAAGTACCTAAATTTATAGGGCGGCCAACACCGATTCCTGCACCACAGCCGATGCCAAAACCTGTAAATACTTGTCCCACTTTGAAAGTAAATGGATTCCCTATTCGCATTGCCTGAAAAGCCTTTCCCTCATTGCTATCTATGCTATTAATACCACTAACACTACTCCCACTCTCCATTCCTCCACAAGCCTCCTAGACTTTCTCCCCAGCTCTATATTCCAACTAAAGTAGGAAGACTCTATCTCTTAATTGCTGAGATTTTACCCTTCGAATTCCAAAACCAAAAGCCCTTTCTTTCTTCCTCAAGATTTCCCGCATAACTTCCCTCTATCTTACCTCTTAACTGAAACATAAAATTACAGAGGCAATGGCCAAGTCAGGCACCAGCGCGTTGTTGAAAGCAAGAAGGAAAGGTCAAGCTTGGGTATTAACAAACTAAGACAAACATATCTTGAGCTTGCTTCTGTAAACGTGCCAACATGGTTCTCGCGAAATTTCACCACCGAGCCAAGAGAACAAAATTACTTCCGAATTCTTATATCTCCCCAGGGAGGGACAAAATTATGTTGCTAGTGATCCAGTTGCTTTGAGCCGAGAAGCTGCACCTAAGTTCTGATCGGCTATCTGATCGTCAAACTTGGGGTGTTCCCGTACATAAATCCGTGTTTGTTTTTTGGGGGGTAAACACATCATTTTTTATGCTTATATTATTAAGCCCGAAAAGAATTTATAGGATGGGCTTTGTACTTAAGGCCCATATAAGAATAAGGGTAAAGCCTATCCCACATGATTGGCCCAAAGGATGAGACTCTTCTCGACCGGAGAAGGATTGTTGAGCGTCAAAAGATCAACGGACTTAGTTGTTATAGAACATAATAACAGATTACAAATAATTCTTTAGGCCATGTAAACTGCAGTCTGTAGTCTAAAACATACAATTATATATAGAGTAATATCATCTATTGCAACTCCTTCATTTGGTCAAGTGTAGATTATATGGATTTTAGACATTAATTTTAACTAATTCTTAATGTTTAAAATCTATAATTCAAAATTAATAAAGTTTTATATTATATAATTTTAATTATTTAAATTGAAATTATGAAGGTAGGCATGGTCTCTCAAACAATACTATATATATCTATAAATTAGGGAGAATAAATTTATTACAAATAAAACAAGATATAATAATATAAATATTAAAAAAACACTCTATGAATGTCTTTGGATATTGGGATGCTTTATGTATTTTAGAAATGATGAATAATAATATCATGTAATAATAAATGACACGTCACAACTAGTTTGCAGGAACATAACTTGAGGTACCTCAAAATATCGCGCAAAATCTAGGACAAGCAGGTTTTATAAATTAACGTAAATACATACCATTGGGTGTTGAAGTAATCTACAGAGCAGCACCTTCCACTCTCAAAGTTCAAAAGCTGATCCAAAACCTAGCCGTGGATCCAACCTTTTTCCAAATCTTCGACTGACCACCAGCATGGCTCAAATCTCCATACATAAAATAATTTGATTTATTCATAAATAAGACGAACTATGCTAAGTTACTTCTGACATATTATAAAATAGCAAATTCACTTGAGAAAAACAGCATATATGAAAATGATCACTATATGGATCATTTTTAAGTCCCGTTTTGAGCAGGAAGTGTAATAACAACTACAATCGCCACCGAGACGCCCTCCTTTGGGCATGTGACTGCGACAGCGTTCCTATCAGAAGCCGATTCGATCCAACGAGCCACATGAACAGGCCTGCTCCTTTCCTCAAACTCAACGTCGTACTCTCCGAACTCATCCCATGGAGTACACTCATTTGATTCTTGAGCCCCAGTAACATCTGCCTGCTTTGTTCACTGTCTGAACAAGTCTCCACCTTAATAACCTCATACGAGTCCTTGACAAGCAGAGAAAACTCCGAACCCATGCTTCTGCGGAGCTTTTTCTCAGCCTCGCGAACACAAAGCCTAGCTAATTCCCTCTCAAACTCGGAATCTTCAGTAGTGATTTTGAATGATAAGCTTTGGCTCTAGTCTCCATTCTTGTATGGCGTACAGCTAGTTATATGGGTGGGAGGAGAGTCTGGATTTTTAAGACGAAGATGGTAAAATATAGGTGTTTCTGTGTCTCCAATATTACGAGGTACTTGGTTCTTGTGTATGTCTGCCAACTTCTTCATGAAATTATCAACCACCAGATACTCGGCCAGCAGCAGACTGCAGCTGACTCCGATCCAGTACCCTCCACATTCGAAGTTGGTCGCCCGAGAGAAACACACAGATCATCGTCATCTCATCTCACATATTGGCGAGTTTATATATGATGTTAAGTGAACTGTATGTTGAATCTGATCATCTCAATTCACATGTATAATATAATATAATAGAATAAAGTAATTCATACGTACCTGAAGAATTCATGGGTGTTAGAGAAATTTTGATTACCTCGAGTATAGGCAGCTACACAACCCTCAGGTCCCCAGAGCTTTCAGAGAGTTCAGAAATAATATAAGTAGAAGAAAATGAGTCGTGTCTCTGCGGTTATCGACTAATCGTCTTATATAGATCAGATCGGTAATCGCTTTATTAATAATAAATAATTATATTATCTATTATCTCTAACTCAGTCAGTTAAGAAATAGTAAATAACTGACAGCTACTGGGTTGTGGGTTGGGCCTCTGCCCATGGGCTCACTTGTGTGATCCACCTATCACAGTCCACACAAGATCATAAAGACCAATCTATTGAACTTATTAATTAATGCTAATTCATAAATAACATTCCAATAATGTATTCATAAGCTTGAATGGAACAGTCTATCTTGCCTGAACATAAAACAGAGGTGAGAACTCAGGACACTGCTCGTCGATATCCCTCCAAAAGACAAGCTCGTGGTCGAGATTATCCTTTTCACAGGTTTCAAGAAAGTCTGAGAGAGAGCAGTGGAGATTCGTGCCTCCACCATTCGAATGCCACAATCATTAGACACAATTTCCATTTCCCCGGCGGCGTCACCACCCTCACCCTCCACCTTATTCTGAAGTCGGCCGGGGAGTAGTGGATGCTCCGACATAGTTGTAGTCAGTGATTCCACGGTCCACCCTCCCAGAGCCCGTACGTCTCCGAGCTCCTTGTTGAAACTTTCATAATACATGATTGCGTGTAATAACCCAGAAAAGTTTCTGAGTCGACGGTGGGGGTTGCTCGCCAAAACGTGGCGAACTCGCCGTGGTACGGTTATCTTCGGTGGCCGAACACTCGTCATACCTAAGAATTGTAATTTGGGCACGTCCATTTTTGCTTCTCCGAACTGCTTAAATTGTCTGGTTCGTGCGTCAGTTCTTAGTGAAGACATGATGTGCATTTACTGGGAAAAAGCTTCCGTCACAGCCACGAGCAGTTGAATTTCGCAACAATGTCAGTATTATCGTACAGATGAGCCCCCGTCTAAGACGCATAAGCCTTGCTTCAAAAAACAAAACAAAAACAAAAACAAAAACAAAACAAACAAATAAACCCATAGATTTACTTTTCATAGTTGATATTTATAGCTTTTTTAATAGTATTTTTTAAATAAAAAATTATTTTTAAAAAACTCATAATTAAGAGATTATCTTTATTTTAAATTTTATATTCATTAAAATATTTAAAAAAATAAAGAATTATAAATCTAAACTATCCAAATTAAACATGATCAATTTAAAGATACAAAGTTCTTAATGCTTGTTTGTATGATAAGCATTAAAAATGGTTTCAATCTAAGATCCTTAGCATAATAATAATTTCGGACTGGACTCTTGTCTTCGAGTGAATAATGTTGGGGTGATTCAATGTAATAAAATATATAAAATAATCTCATAAAAAATGCATTAAATATCTTTCAATCATTATTCTTTCTTTCTTATTATATTCTTTCTTCTTAAGATTATCAAGTGAAATGTGTTTTTTAAAAGTTATATTTTTATTTTTGGACAAGGTAATATTTGGGAGTTTTTAATATGGAATGAGATGGTTATAAATCTTAGAAAAAATGATAATAAAATCCTTTAAAAATATAAATGATAATTTGATCACTCAAAATACCATAATTTTATTGAAGTTCTTAGAAACTTTTTTCTCATTAATGAATTAAATTGCCCTTGTTGAAAAAAATGATTCACGAGTTTTGTTTAAATAATATAATTTTCTTTTTTTATTTACAATAATACAATAGCAAATCATATATTCGCAATATATAACAATAAATTATAATTTCGTATGTTAAATTCTTGATTTCTATTGCATTGTTGTAAAGTAAGAAGAAAAGTTGTGACTATTTAAAGAAAAACTTGTAAATCATTTTATTTTCTACAAGAACAATTTAATCATTTATATAAATTTATTAATGATAAAAAAAATTTTAAAAACTTCAGCAAAATTAGTACATTTTAAAGGATCAAATTTTTATTTATGTATTCCAAAGAATTTTATTATCATTTTTTTTAAGTCTGATATCATTGTTTGGGAGAAATTTTTAAAAGAAAGTGAAATGACCTAGGGTTTATGATGCACACATATCGATACGTGTATCGAATACATGTCAATACTTTTATTTTTAAAATTATATTATATGATATGTTTTTTAATATATACATATATACATACATACATATATAATATCAAAAAACATTAAAAATATAATTTTAATTAAGAAAATATCCAAACTAACATACATCTATAATGCTTTATAGTAACACTAGCAAAGCATAATCATTATTGTATGTTTATTCTATATATAGTTATGTACCTAATTACCTACTACTTAGTCAATACTAATAGGTATAATATTAACATCTTCTTCTTTTGGACAATCATTTGAGAAAAGAATAGTTTTTATATGTGGTTCATCAAGAGATAAGTTTGTCACTTTCAAAATTTCAGCACCATCAAAGTCATCCATTCATCTCCACTAATGTCCTAAAAAAGATATTGGTAATGAAAAATTTAACATCACAATCTTTAATAAAACTTAGTTTCTAAGAATTTTCTTCAAATATCAGCTTTGAAGTACTAACTATTTAACTCCCAATTAAAAAATATTGAATACGTATCAAAAATTAATTTTTTAAAATTAAAAAATAATATTTTAATATTTTACAAATACGTATCAAAAAAATATTGACTGGTATCAATATCAGATATGGATGTGGGAGATAATTTGAAGTTTCGGTGCTTCACATCTTGGGAGCCTTCCAACCATCCCTTAACATCGTATCATTTTTCTTGACTCCTTAATTTGGAAGGTCAAGGATATAATAATATGATATAAATAATATTTTTATAAAATTACATTTATCCTTCTCACATGTTCTCACTATTTCACTCTCCAATCTTAAAACTGAAAATATAATTATATAAGATACAGTGGAGCGACTAATTGCAAATTTGGAATTTCATTAGTCATTGTCACCAATCTGTTCCTTTTTTTTGGGGGGGGGGGTTGGCGAGTTTTTGTATGTTGGTTTGTATTGTAATTTTTTTTAGTGTTTGAATTGATGTTTGTATTTTTTCTTTTGGTGGTTAATAAAATTATCTTTTTTTGGCCCTCCAAGAAAATCTATTCTTCAACTGTTTATCCTATTATGTTTCGGCTTAATGATATTTTAGTGTCTAGATATATTAATTAATGAAATATGAAAAATTTCAAAATATGTGAGTTATTTGTACTTTTAAAATTAATATGTTACTACTGATGATGTTTCTTTTTAAACCATCACTCGCAGTCTTTGAAAAAACATAAATTCAAAATATTCTTACAAGTTTTAACATCCAAAAAAACTTAATTTCTAATCAACTTATCAATGTGTAGTATAAAATTTATAAAAAGCTGTACTTTTTTTAAATTTAAAATTGTAAAAGTTTCTAGTATTTAGGTATAATTTTTAAAAAGGAAGAAAGAGTCAAAACAAAGTAGAGGGCAGAAGAGTATTTCTTAAGATGTGTTTGAATTGGAGTATAATTAATTATGAAAAAAAATTAATTAGTATAATTAATTTTGAATACAATTGATTATGTTGTGTGGTATATAATTGATTTATAAAATT